TTTCGATCCTTCTTTCTTCAAGATATATATATATATCTTATTATTATCCTTCCCTTTATTACTATGCTTTCCTTGATGCGTACATTGTTTTCCCGTTTATTTCTACCCAACTCTTTTGACATTTTTTTCTTTTTTATTGTTTAGTTTTTGCAATCAAATAGATTTGTGCCTTTCGTCATAAATGTAGAATTAATATGCGTCTGGATCAACGATCAACAAGAGAAAGGTCCCGATTTCAGATATATATATATATATATATATATATATATATATATATATAAACATACATACATACATATATATATATATATATACATACATATATATATATATATATATATATATATATATATATATATATATATATATATATATATATATATATATATATATATATATATACAAACATACATACATATATATATATATATATATAAAGTGATTTTCCAAGCGTTGGTTGTATGTGGCACAAGGCCGAAAGGTAAGGGGCTCCAGTAGTATTGAACTTACAACTCAGTGCAAGGTTCTGTGAGACAACACATTATTTATTTTTAACCATTATATATATTATTATATTTATTTATATATATATATATATATATATATATATATATATATATATATATATATATATATATATATATATATATATATATATATATATATATATATATATATATATATATATATATATATATATATATATATATATATATATATATCATTAAATAATATAGGCAAGTGTTGTCTATTTATTTTTATGTAAATTCTTTTCATAACGTCTGATAAGCTTAATAACATTATCATTAAACGAAGAAAGAAAATCACAATATTGAGCCATATTTTTTAATCCAATCTAAGCTTTCGGCTTACATAAGCCATTATCAATTACTGTACAATATATTAAGCAATATCTGATCTGGCCTCCTTTCTGCAGACGCTAAATCACAGACGTGCTGTGGCTTCCCTCTGTCTTTTCTCCAAGTACTTTCATGGCAACTGCTCCGACGAGCTACTTTCACTGGTTCCCAGAATGCATGAATTTAAACGTGCTATTAGGTTGACTCTTTCGGTCCCATTCTTTCACTGTCGAAGCAATTAAATATAATCGCCTCTTCTTCTCCAACAGCTTCTTCTCTTTCACTTTCAAACAGTGGCACTCCCTTGCTATTACTTGTTTCCCTGATAGCTATAATCTTCAAATATTCAAATGTAATGTCAATCATCTTCTGATGCCTTGATCTTGATCGCCGCCCTTGCCTATATCCTTTTCTCAAACACTCCTCTTTACTCTTACTCTCATTCTCTGTAACACCTTGCGGGCTAGAGGCACCGCCGCTTTGCTTGGGGTGAAATGCTTAAAAAAATTTAAAGAGAATGATGGCTGCCAGTCTAGAAGGAAAGCGACCCTGTATGAAAAACCGCGGAGAAGACCAAGTGAAACCTCTCCACTATCTTTCTAAAAAATCATGGCAGGAATCCGTAGATAGTCATGATCACCCGCGTCCTATATTACATGACGCTGAAAGAATAACATTTTCTTTTTTGTAGAAAATATAGCTGTCGTCATTCCTTTCATATGCTCTAAAGATATCTTCGAACTAGTTAAGTAGTTACTGCTTATTTTACATTAATATTTTATTTCTATAATTAAGGCACTGTATATTACCAGTAAGACCGTTTGATAATGTTAATATAATTCCAAGAAAGTGATTGATATTTTTTCTTTTTAATTTCATAAGCAACTTAAAATATCATTGGAAAATTTATGGTACTTCAATAGGAAAGGCTTTCTTCGTATATATGAAAAATTATGTGAAAGAAAACCTCTCCAGCGCGTGATGTATAAAGGTTTCTTAAAGGAGGGCTTTATGTGAAACTAAGGGTCATAACGGAGAACCATTGAAAAGAGGTTTTCCCTAATGTAACATTTTCCTTTTTTTTCTTTTTTTTTGTAAATGAAATTGAAGACAAGAAACCTTACTTGGTATCTGTCTATATTTTTGAGATGAGGTATTATTTACACTATTTACATTATTCGGACTATTGTCCTGATCTTTGTCGCCATATTTATTACAACGTTCCGACTGTTTTACGCTCCGGCCTTCTTCAGGTGGTTGGAATGTCGAACTAAACGCTTTATTTCGCTCACTAGGGTAGACTGTTCTAGTTCCACGTGCGATGTTTAGTTATCAGTAATCTCCTGGTAATCTCCCTCTCCAAGTTATCCACTGCCTTAAGCGGGTATTGAACTCACACTCTTTGGGTTCTGTCACTGGATCTAACTAACGCCTTTATCCACTGTGCCATGTATCTTTGAACCTTATTTGCATTCAACATCCTTTATTTAAACTTGAGAATTAAGTAAACACATTAATCACAATACAATTTTGTGATAGATTCTATGAAATTAGTAAAAGAGTTTTAGTTTGTATTCGCGCGTCTGCTCATGGTTGCCAGTTATCGATTTCTAATTCATAATCACATATCAGTTTATGTAAAACTGATATGTAAATCTATGCCAATTTCTCAACGTTGCTTGGGTATACGCATTATAGTGCTTAATCATTCGTTGGAACGCGGTGGATATATTTTGTGAGGTGTAATCTTATATTTCCGTTCATATCTACAGCCGTTAATGGTAAGATGTGGCTCAAATCAGGTTCCATCAAATCCGGTCGAGTCAGGCGCTTTATGCAACCTTGCTATTGACAGGCTATCATAATTGAAAGTTTCGCCCACAACTGACTGATGCATTTCCCGAAACGCGAGGAAATAAATCTATTTTTGAAATTGCGTAATGAGATTGACGTTATCAGACAATGCTAACACGTAATTCCTTCGTGAAGATGGCATTAGACAAGGCGAGATTGACGAGATAGTTGACGAATAGTTATGGAGAGTGAATTCAGTGTTCGAAGCAGAGCAAGGTGAAGGTTCAGCAAAAAATAGGAAAGACGAAAGAATCTGATGGAATGAAAGATCATGCCAAAAATAACGCGTGAAATCAAGGAAGAAGTAAAAGATTTGAATAGGAACGAGGAAGAGAAGAAGAAAAATGGCTGCTATGAAATCATTTGATTGATTACTCTCCTTCTTTCCAAAGATATTTCGACAACAAAATATAATAAAAACAGGAAGAAAACGATGAAGACTAAAGCAAAAACGATTTCAATAAAAGTAGAAATTAAGAAATAAAGAAAATGAGTCAGAAATGAAACGGAGAATTAGAGGGAAGAGGGAGAGAGCGACGAGAAAACGGGAGAAGCAAAGGTGATGCAGGAAGAATGAGAAGGAAAAAGAAGGAAACGTGAATAAGGAAGAAAAAAAAGGTACAAGAAAGAGCTGTAAAATAAAAATGAAGGATGCAGGAGAAAGACGACAAAAACGTAAGGGAGAGACAAGAAAATAAAGTAAAAGAGAAGAGAGAAAACAAAAAGAAAGAAGGAAAAGAAGAAAAAGAAGATAAAGAAAAACATGAAGACGAAAACGAACAAGAAAAAGAAGTAAAAAGACAAATAAAAAGAAAAAAGAAAACGAAGAAAAAGAAGGAGAATTAAAAAAGGAAAAAAAGGAAAAGAATATGAAGAAAAGGAAAAAGAAGAAAAAATGAAAACGAAGAAGAAAAAGAAGAAAAAAGAAAATGAAAAAGAAAAAAAAGAAGAAAATGAAGAAAAAGCGGAAGAAAAGAAAGAAAATGAAGATTTAGAAAAAGAAAAAAAACAATCGAATTAAGTAAAATAAGAAAGAAACTATGACAAAAATTTCGAAATAATCCTCATATTTATTGTTGTGGCAAGCAATCAGGCGATCAAGGGATTAACAACCTTGAAGAAAGTGCCAATTAGAAAAAAAACATCATTTTTATCTCGAGAATCCTGGATTCCTTCGTCCTCGTGTGCCCATTTCACAGCGCATGCAGCGGGTGGGAGGGGTGAACCTTATCTCCTATTTCCTACAAAGTTGTTGCCATTGGAAAACCAACTTTACTACGTACGGATCGAGCCAATTAAGTACGATCCTTTTATGGCGAGCCTAAATAGTCAATTTTGCGTTTGCCCACATATTTAACTATATCCGTGTTAGCAGAAAATACAGGCTGCGACAGACATACCTCAAATAGACATCTCCTAGAAAGACCTCCACATAATTGTAAGGTATTATGCACAGGGAGTGACGAAAATACCACCCACATTTTAAACTGTTATTTGCGTCGTTCCAGTTAACTTAGTCAAGTACCAATGGTATCTTCACCTAGTTAATTTAATGTGTGAGGTATATCTGGGAGGTATCTGTGTGAGATATTTTTGCCGCACCCGGCATATTGATATATTTAGCTACTTCCTGTTATTAGTTATTATTCCACACACACACACACACACACACAACCATATATATGGAAGGTGTAATATACAAATTTATATATCAAAACAATATTGGGTAATTTCAGTTTGAATTTCTGGGACGAGGAGTCATCATTACTTACATTATTTACATATGGACTATCGTACTGATCTTTGTTGTTGTTATTTTTATCACAACGTTTCGACCGTTGTGAACTCCGGCCTTCATCAGGTGTCTGCAGTTTCGACCATTGTGCCCTCCGGCCACCATCTGTTTCGAATTCCCTGTACGTTACCCAAATCTACATAAACCTGATAAAGGTCAGGGAGCGCAACGGCCGAAACGTAGTGATACCATCAACAAAGATAGGATAATGTATTCGATGGATCCGTTTTTTACGACTTATCAACCCATTGCAGATTATCTAAAGCCAGAAAATATTTTTAGATTGGAAGAGTGTCTTGGAGATAATAATGATTTAGTGATACAAGTTTTACTAATTAACCCATAGTTAGGGAGAAGATATGGATTCATACTTTTCCCAAGGGTATTGGCGAGTAAGGGAATATAACGAACCCAACTGAAATTTGAACTCGGCTCTCCGATTAAAAAATTCGGATCATTAGCCTTTACAGCGTCCACACAGCCAAACTTCGAGCACCTGGTATTCCCAAGCAGTTACCCATCTAGGTACTAACTAGGCTCGGCGTTGCTTAACTTAGGTATGGGAACCGGTGTTTGGATCGCTTCTATTAATTCACTCTGAACAATGTAAAGTTACTTGTCGCAAATATTAATTCAGCATAAGAAATTATAAATTTTAAATCAAAATTTGTTTAGCTTGTCTCGCAACAACTCCAACGATCAGAATGGAAAATTGCCAAAAATCAGAGCGTTATTCACATTTCATAAGTGCAGATAGTATTCGTGGTCCTTACAAGGAATTTTTTGTAATTAAAAGGAAGAAGAAAAAACATTGTTTTTGGGTTGTTTATCGGATTGAGTATGGCTGCATACGTAACACTTAGAAATAGACGGCTCGAATTGCCCACATTTGGGGCGATCGAAAAGGTCAACACAACTAGAATGCATGGAAGGGCCTCGCACTGCATGGATTTGGTGTGGTTTTTAGTAAATGTAAATTCTTTTTTACTTTGGGGTGAATTAACAGAAGTGGTCCCAGGTGTTTCAACATGACATGACGAGCAAAATGATCTGCATTTATAGAGAGTCAATAATAATAATGGATGAAAGAATAAAAAAAAAAGTCAGTCTGACAATAATAGGTAGTGGAGAGATACAAAAAAACGCGGGATAATAAGAAAAAGTAATTGCGATGAAAAATAAAACCCAAATCGATATGAAACTCAATGAAATCTAATAATTTATATATCTAGAAAATGTCAAAAATGTATATTTAAAGTTTAGATCCCTCTATTCTTAACGCTTTCGATGTAAAATCAGAACTGTCTTTTTCTTTACTTTCTCTCTTCTTCTATATATATATATATATATATATATATATATATATATATATATATATATATATATATATATATGAAAATATATAGAAAATAGGAAGGAACTAGTTAGGTAAAAAAATCCAAAGTTCCTTAGTATTTTAGCTATTATTTTTAAAAAATAGTGCTCGATACAAAAAGTAGAGCATTAATATAATTATTTTTTAAAATTCCAACTCGCGACATAAGAGGTCTCATGTTTCAAAACAAGAGCCGAAAACTTCAATATAATTATTTGAATTAAATTGAGTTAAAAGTAAGCTCTGTTCCATTTCGTTTGAAGATGGAAATTTCTTACTTTAACTCAATTTAATTCAAATAATTATATAAAAGTTTTCGGCTCTTGTAAATAAATGTTAATTATATAGAATATATATCTTATGTATGTATATATATATATAATATATATATATATATATATATATATATATATATATATATATATATATATGTATATATATATATATATATATATATATATATATATATATATATATGTATGTATATATATATATATATATATATATATATATATATATATATATGTATATATATATATATATAGATATTATATATATATATATATATATGTATGTATGTATGGATATATATATATATATATATATATATATATATATGTATGTATGTATGGATATATATATATAGATATTATATATATATATATATATATGTATGTATGGATATATATATATATATATATATATATATATATATGTATGGATATATATATATATATATATATATATATATATATGTATGGATATATATATAGATATTATATATATATATATATATGTATGTATGTATGGATATATATATAGATATTATATATATATATATATATATATATGTATGTATGGATATATATATAGATATATATATATATATATATATATATATATGTATATATATATGATATTATATATATATATATATATATATATATATATATATATAGATATTATATATATATATATATATGTATATATATATAAATGTATATATATATATATATATATATATATATATATATGTATATATATATAGATATATATATATATATATATATATATATATGTATGTATGAATATATATATAGATATTATATATATATATATATATGTATGTATGTATGGATATATATATAGATATTATATATATATATATATATATATATATATATATATGTATGGATATATAAATAGATATATATATATATATATATATATATATGTATGTATGTATGGATATATATATAGATATTTATATATATATATATATATGTATGTATGTATGGATATATATATATATATATATATATATATATATATATGTATGTATGATATATATATAGATATATATATATATATATATATACTATATATATATATATATATATATATATATATATATATATATGATATATATATTATATATATATATATATATATGTATGTATGTATGGATATATAAATAGATATATATATATATATATATATATATGTATGTATGGATATATAAATAGATATTATATATATATATATATGTATGTATGTATGGATATATAAATAGATATATATATATATATATATATATGTATGGATATATATATATATATATATATATATATATATATATATATGTATGTATGTATGTATATATATATATATATATTATATATATATATATATATATATATATATGTATGGATATATATATAGATATTATATATATATATAGATATTATATATATATGTATGGATATATATATATATGTGTGTGTGTGTCCTCGCTACCTTATGACATAATACTTTAATACTTTGAGAAAATATATTGAAAGCTTAATAATAACATAAAAAAATAAAAACTATAAATACACGCCTAAAACATTACATTACATCGCCGTCTTTCTTTGAGTCCATTCTTAAAGAATCTAACTTATATCGATCTGATACAAAGAATACATTCCTAAAGAATCGAGCCATAAAATCAGACCCCCGTGACCTCCCGCTGCTAGGGTGAGTTGCACAAAGGGCATGATACAAAAAAAATCCCCTACTAGACAGACAAACGCAGACAATTATAAATAAACATTACTATTCATTGCCCACTTAAATATAAAAATTCTTCAGCAACCGACATGCACACAGAATTATTTCCGGTTTTAATACACGTGACCCGTATCTGGCCAATGAGAACTGAACCAAATATAATTGAAAATACCAGTTTTTTGTCTTTTTTTCTCAAACTCTGACGAAGCTTTGATAAAAGTGAAATACGTTAGATTGATATCAGTTAGTTATGTGTTATGCGTGATACACGATTAGGCGATCATTTGTCTTTAGATACATGACTGACAAGGCGGATTTTTTCCCGCAGTAGGTTGCCATTTCTTTCTTCGGTAGAGCAGTTGCCATCCAAGTCTATAGAATCCAGTCTGTCCTGCTACTTATCCATAGCTGGGGAGAGAAGAAGAGGATTCATACCTTTTCCAAGGTTATTAGCACATAAGTGAATGTAATGGATTCGACTGGAATTCGAACTCGGCTCTCCGATTTCTTAATCCGAGCCGCTATCTGTTATTACACTGCCTAGATTGATATGTTTCCTTTTTGTTCTTTTATTTCATCATCATATTGTATTCTCATCCATTTTTGATCTACAACTCTGCCCTTTTCTCTCTCTCTCTCTCTCTCTCTATATATATATATATATATATATGTATTGTATTTCAGCATTACAACTTTTATACAAGTTTAACAGGGTACTACGATTAAACTTTTTTATTCAGTTTTTTTTTTGCGTTTGTATATGTGTTTTCATTTCTGGGTACAAAATCTCTAAAAACTGTCTTAAATTTTTTTTATATATCTGAGCGATTTCGGTTATTCTGTTAGCCATTATCAAGGATGAATTGTGTAGATTTGTATATAGGTGAATAAAAGTGATAAGAATGTTATTTTTCTTTTCCCATCACCTTCCTTAAGCATTATTCAAGCACTGAAAAAGCTCATTCTCACTCCTTGGGTATTCTCTTTGAACTCTCCAATCCAATTCATATCATACTAATTCACAGGAAGAGAGATCAGGAGATTGATTCGGCCAAGTCATAATATTTAAAAAATTTTTCTATTTTTTTTCGACTCGAACTAATTTTGACCTAATATAGAAGAATGTTATTTTGTCTTGTTGAAAGGTGATATTTCTCTCCAATTATGCGGAAATCAATTGTATAGCATGCATGTCGTACTATACTCTAGGCTAGCTCATGGCGCAATTGAGAGACAGAATTATAGGCCTATTGAAAAATGTTTGATTTTCACAAATTTTGAAAGAAAATTAAGTTTATTCTTTTTTTTTAAATACTTAAACTGTCATTTTGAACCATTCCTAAGGAAAATAGGATGTGTTGAATGTTAAATAAATGAAAATATGTATTTTTGTTGTGGACACTGATAAGTATTAAACAAAACAGACAGGTAGTTAAGATTTCTAGTAAAAGATATGATCTACATAATGTTGAAACAGAAACATTCGTACTATTTACAGGCCACACAGGATCTTTTATTTAATCTACCCCGAGGGCTTAAATGAAGAGTCCGGTTCAAATTTTCATTAAAGTTACCAGATTCAACAAGCAGTACCTGAAGAAGGCTGAAAGGTATGAGCCGAAATGTCTATAAGACAGTCATTCATGTCAGAAATATAAATAAATCAAAATCATTCTAGTACAGTTTCAAAACCTTTAAATCTCGTTCTTTGTCTGATCTAGGCGAGTAATTTTTGCAAATGTTTTTCAGAACGATATTTGCAAAAATACAAACATGCTTTCTGTCCATATTGAAAATATATTAGAAATAACATAAAAATGCTAAAAATGTTTCCTTTATTGTATGGAAAAGGATGAAACAAAAAATAACCATTGCTAAGTGTGGTCTGCAGGAATCTTTAGTTTTCCACGGCCAAATGAATTGGTATACTTTCTATATTTAGAATAAAAATGGGTTTCATATTCACTGAGTTGATTATCGTATCTTTTAATTTATGGAGCTATATATACGTGAGCCATTTTCCTTTCATCAGAAAGAGATGGTTCTAAAATTTTCAGATTGTCAAATATTTCTGAACCTTCCTCATTAAGCTTATAATCACAATATGTACATTGTTGACCAGGTATAGCATCAAAACCATCAATATTTA